GAAGCTGGCCGCTTGCTCCCAGGCACCCTGAGCGAATTGTTTTGGCCTCACCATGCATTGCCAAAACTACCCAAAAGCCAGTGCGCTGGGTGGTGGTGGGTGCACACGCTTACCTCCCCATGGTGCGCCGCACTCTGCATCAGCACAAGCACTCCTGGTGAGTACATGCGCCGCCGACACAAGGAGCTGAGTGTGCACCTGCACAAGGGATGTACTAACTGCAGCGGCTGCATGCTGATGTAACGGACATCGGCAAAACTTTGTCACGTAGGCATGGCCTAGGTCTAGAACTCACAGCCAGTGTGGGGTTTGTGCCCTGGGTCTTAACAGTCTGCCCCGAGGCTGGGACTCCCGCTTTTCTGAGTCACTGCATTACCAGCACTTCTTGTCTCTTAGGGGAGGTCAGGCCCTCCAAGGGTTCAGCCACCCGCCTCCCTGGGACAGGCTGCACTAAGGACAAAGAGCCAGCTGTGGCTAGCTGATTGGCTCCGTAGCTGGGCGACAGTTAATGAAGTAACGAGCACCTGGGCCTAATAAAGAGCAGATGAGGGTTCATTTGGGGGGGCCCAGAACGGAGAGAGGACGCTCCAGGGGAGAGCGCTCCTCAGGGGAGCTGGGTAGGAAGCTAGGCCCAGGAAAGCCCCCAGAACACAAGGAGAGGAAGATCCAGGAGAGAGAGACTAGACAGCTCTGCAGCAGGCTGACCTGGGAGGGAGCTGCCCTGAGTTAATAGGGGAGAAGCCTGGGGACTCCAGCAGCAGAAGGCTTGTTTACATACCACGTTTACATAAACTAGACCCCTGACGGGGCTACTGCATTCACGCCTCCTTGACTTACTGAAAGCCCATGAGGGGAAACCGAGGCAGGGATGTAACTGAGGTTCCACACCGGTCTGCTAGGGGGCGCTCCAGGGGTGAGTTCCTGCCATGGCACCGAGCAACAGCCAAGTCACCTGTAAACCCAGATTTATTAATACTAGAGAGAAAAGGGCCATAAAACAAAAGCACCGATTTGCAGAACAGCTCTAGGTTTACACTCGTCATAACCTGAACCGGATGGGGCGTCTTCGGCGCCACGACAGTCACATGAAAAGAAACCACCTTGCACCCTCAAGAGGAGTGAGGCGACGTGACCAGCCGAGGGCGCACGGCCCTAGCCAGCTGTCGCCGTTGTTATAGCAGAGCCATAGCCCGGGTAACACATTCCTTCCTCCGTTGTGTGTAGCCAAGCGCAGCTCCGCTGCACAGCCGACCGGCAGAGGGCGTCCGGGAGCTCGGGCTCAGCGCTAACGAGTTCTCAGCTCTAGCACAGGCTTAACCCTGCTTGCGTGTCCTCAAACCCGGCACCGGGCTCCGTCGCAGCCTCTCCGCGGCCCAGAGCAACGGGGAGCAGCAGCGTCTGTTCTGGCCCACGCTGCAGCAGTCTCTGACCCAGTCCAGTCCCAGAAGGCAGCCCCCGCGGCACCACGGGCCTGCATGCAGCATAGAGAAGTCTGGCGAACCAGGGTACCTCTGAAAGGATTCAGAGGCTCCTTGGACAGGCGTGCCTGCACGGGAATATCTACTACGCCCTAAATCCACTCCCTGTCTTAATCCACATTAGCTTCCAAGCCCTGGTCTCCACTACAAAGTGATACCGATGTAAACTGCCTTGTATCAACCTAGTGCCTACACTTCCATTGATCTCCCACCAATGCCAGTGCCCCATTACGCCGACATAACACCACCTCCACGAGCCACGGTCGATGTGCGGCGTATAGACAAGCCCAAATCTCCCAGGGCAGGGGAGGGAAGTCAGAGGGGCCGCTCCAGTGTTGGCCAGGATGGGTGCTGGTGTCGATCGACCAGGAACAGGGGAGGGGGGGCAGATGAAAGGTGAGTTGGGCAGATCGGACAGGAAGAGATCCTAGACAAGTTGGGGGGCACCTGGTACCTCACTACTATGGATCTCACCAAAGGCTACGGGCAGGTGCCTTGGACCCAGAGGCCAGGGCGAAGTCTGCCTGCACCACCCCAATAGGGCTCTTCGGGTTCCTGGTCCTGCCTCTCGGCCTCAAGGGGCACCTGCCACCTTCCAGCGCGTTACTGAGGGGGAGGGAGGACTTTCTCTGGCGTGTATTGATGATCTTTGTGTCATTAGCCAGACCCGGGAGGAACATGTGTCCCTGGTGACGAGGGTGCAGAGTCGCCTCCAGGATGCAGGACTGACTGTAAAGGCGGAAAGTGCAAGGTGGGGATGGCAGAGGCATCATACCTGGGCCACCAGGTGGGGGGCAGCCACCTGAAGCCAGAGCCGGCCAAGGTGGAGGCCATCAAGGACTGGCCGCTCCCCAGACTAAGAAGCAGGTCCAGGCTTTCATTGGGATGGCGGGGTACTACCGGAGGTTTGTGCCCCACTTTAGGTCCCTGGCAGCACCCCTCACGGAGCTGTGTAGGAAGGGAAAGCCGGACAAGGTGGTCTGGACCGAGCAGTGCCAGAGGGCTCTGTGCGCTGAAGCACTTATCCAGGGCCCGGTGCTGGTAAACCGGATTTTAACAAACCCTTCCTGGTGTTCACCAACGCCTCGGACACAGGGCTGGGGGCGGTACTGATGCAAACTGATACTAAAGGGGAGAGACACCCCATTGTGTACCTGAGCAATAAGCTGCTGCCCCGGGAGCAGCACTAAGTGGCCATAGAGAAGGAATGCCTGGCCACGGGGTGGGCCCTTAAAAAGCTGCAGCCGTATCTATTTGGGCGGCGCTTCACCGTGCACACCGACCATTCGCCCTGACGTGGCTGCACCAAATGAAAGGGGCTAATGCCAAGCTGCTGAGGTGGGCCCTGCTCCTCCAGGGGTATGACATGGAGGTGGCCCATGTGAGGGGGAGCGCCAATGTTATAGCTGATGCTTTATCACGGGGTGGGGGCCCTGAACTGCCCCAGGTCACTGGCTAAGTGACCCCGCTCAGTTCAGACTCGAAGGGGGAAGAGATGTGATGAAGTGTGGGATTTTCTTGTTTTTCCAATGGTTTGCATGCAGATGGGGTGGGACTCAGTTTCCCTGGGTGTTACTAGTTTAACGAGGTGATGGGAGAGGGAGTTTGTTGTTACAGAGGACCGGAGAGAGGACTTGGGGACCCAGCCGATAGCCGGGAGGATGGACACCCCAGCGACTGGTGACCGGGAGGCCCAGCTCGGGAGTCACAGCCGGTTCTGGCCAGTGGGAGGACAATGAGCTGCGGAGAGAGGACCCCAGTGACCTGACCCACCGGTTTCAGCCAGTGGGGAACAAAGGACGGCTGAGAGGAGAGGAGGCCCAGGTGACCCTGTTTACCTGGATAGAAGACAAAGGACAGAGACGGGGCTTGGGGATAGGGGATAATGGATACCCAGTTGGGGAGCAGGGGGGCTCGGGGCTGGAGAGAGAGAGCGGGCAGAGCCCACCTGGATGCAGGACAAACCTAGATGTACTGGGCTGAGGGTTGCTAGGCCCAAGGACCCGGAGAGTTTTCTGTGCTGGGTTCAGACACTCAATAAACCCTCCTAGTTTATGCTGGCTGAGAGTCACTCCAGTCTAGAGAACAGGGTTGCATTATTCCCTCTGGGAGTGGAGGCCCTGGGGGTCCAGAGCGAGTGGACTCCCTGAGGGGGCCCACGGCGAGAGACAGGCATGCTGAGGGCTCAGAGAGGTGCGGTGCCAGGAGGCGGAGGGACTTACCCCCCAGGAGAGAGTGGATCCCCGAGAAGGGCTGTCGCTCTGAAGGGGGTTCCCCCCAGGGACCGTACGGGGCCAAGAATGGGCACGACCTGTGAATCCATGACACCTGGATTCCAGGTGCTTCTTTCACAGAGCTCCCCCCCACCCGCCTCTGTACCCTAATACTCGTGTGGGTGAGAGCCGTCCCACCTTGGGATGATCCCACTGAGAAGCGCAGAGGACCAGGGAAGGGGCCTGTCCCCCCAGCCTGGCAGAGGTGTGAGCCAGGGGCGTTGTGCCTCTAACATTGCTTTCCCCTGCTCCTCAGCAGGTGTCTCCTGGGTGTGTTTCCCCTGGCTGCTCTGAGCCAGAACCCAGTGTTGGGGGCCGTGTTCTAGGGTGACCAGATGACAGAGGTCAAATATCGGGACGCGGGGAACGGAGCAAAAAAACAAACAAGCGGGTGGCGGAGCAAAACAAGAAAACAAAAAAAACTGCCGGAGCACAGGAAAAACTGAGAACCCACCGGCAGCTCCACACCCCGCCCCACACCAGCTTGCCTCCGCTCCGTCTCCACCTCCCCCCTCGGGGAGGGAGGGGGGCAGGGGGCAGCACGCAGAGCCCCTCCCTCGCCCCCCCGTCAGAGGGACCTGCCAGGGGGCCAGGTGAGTCCCAGGCAGTGCTAGCCTTACCTGGAGCGGCTCCCAGGGAGCATCCAGCAGGCAGGTCCTGTCCCTCTGGCTCCTAAGGTCGCTCGGGTCGGGTTGGGGGGGACAGGGACAGGGGCGGGGGGCTCGCTGCTGGCGCCTACAAGCCCCCCCGCCCCTGCAGCACACAGTGGAGACCTCCTCGCCGTCTCTGTGCGTGCCTGGGGAGTGGGGCTGCAGCACTCTGCAGGGTCCTGCCGGCCGGCGGGCAGGCAGGCGCTGGGAGTTCAGCTGAGCTGCCTCAGGGCCCAGGAAGAAGAGGTGAGCGGCGCCGGCAGTGCCGGCTTGCATCCTCCACCAGACGGTCCCCCGATATCGGGACAAAGTGCGTCCCAACCAATGTAAGGTCGGGAGGCGGGACAAGTCCCCTTAAATCGGGACGTCTGGTCACCCTACCGTGTTCCCAGGGGTGCCGAGCACTAAAGAACACCCAGAGGCTGCCAGCGAGAACGCACTTCCGCTGCCACAATGCATTTATTACGTCTGGGATTTCCCAGTCAGGCACTACCGGCCCCGGCAGCCAGCACATCCTCCCCACCCTCAATGCTCACGCCTGCCCTCAGGGCTGCCCCGGAGCCCAGCACAGGAGGCACTTTCTCTCGGGGGGCTGGTCCCTACTGCCGACCTGCAGCTACCAAGCTGCTGAGCCGGGACAGGGGCAGCAGCCCAGCAGGCGTGTCTCGTTCCCACAGTCCATGGCACTTGGTGTCTAACCACCGCAGGGCTGTCCTCAGGCTGGCTTTCTCTCCCGTGTCGCTCGGCCTGTCCCGCCGGCACCGCTCACACACCGCCAGTTTCCCTGGGAACCACAGGAGGGAGAGAATGCATGAACTCAGCCGATTCTTTTCAAACTCTTGGATGCAAGTTATCTGGTCCTGATGATTTAAAAATATTCCACTTTCCTAGTTCGTAGAATCACAGAAACATAGGGCTGGAAGGGACCTTGAGAGGTCATTTAGTCCAGGCTCTTGTGCTGAGGCAGGACCGAGTAAACCTAGCTCATCCCTGACAGGTGTTTGCTTCACCTGTTCTTAAAAACTTCCAATCTTGGGGATTCCACAACTCCCTTGGAAGCCTGTTCCAGAGCTTAGCTACCTTTAGAGTTGGCAAGTTTTTCCTAATACCAACCCTAATCTCCCTTGCTGCAGATTAAGCCCATTGCTGCTTGCCCTGCCTTCAGTGGACACGGAGAACGATTGAGCCCCACCCTCGGTATAACAGCCCGTAACATAGTTGAAGACTGTTCTCGGGTCCCCATTCGGTCTCTTTTCTCAGGACTAAACATGCCCAGTTTGTTTGACCTTTCCCCATAGCTCAGGTTCTCTAAACCTTTCATCATTTCTCTGCTCTCCTCTGGGCTCTCTCCAGCTTATCCCCGTCTTTCCTAAAGTGCAGCACCCAGACCTGGACACCGCATCCAGCCAAGGCCTCCCCAGTGCCAAGCAGCGTGGGACACTTACCTCCCGTGTCTGACATACGACACTCCTGTTAATACAGCCCAGGATGAGATTAGCCTCTTCGCAACTGCATCCCGCTGGTGCCTGATCTTTAGTTTGTGAGCCGCTGGATCTCCCAGCCCCTTTGCAGCAGTGCTGCTGCGGCTTAGCTCTCATGCCATCCCTTGGACAGCACAAAGCCACCAGGAGCATTATGTGCCATGTAACAGGGGGACTGTGACATTCCCCTGGTGTTATCCGGACCGGTGATCTGCTCGGTCACTCCAATCCTTGACTCTGGGAGCCAGCCTGACCCTGCTCTGCTGTGAGAACCCCACTCCTGGGCTGTTCACACACAGCCTCTGGCATGCAAACTGCTCCCAGCTACGTGAGTGAGCACTTTTAGCCAGCTGCTGCTTGGATTGTGCAAGCAAATGACATTAGCCAATATCTCCGGTCCCAGACACAACCCTAGGAACCTCCGTCTTGCAGTGTCCGGTTATACCCGCTGGACGCTGCAAGCTTGTATGAGTTTGTCAATTTAACAAAGCAATTGATATATACCAGGCTTGTTATCCCAAGGGGAGTCTCTGACATGCTTCCAACCAAACGCACTGCTTCAGGTAGAACAAACAACTGTAAGCAGAGTCAGAATGAGCTCTCCGCTGACATCTGGTGGTGAGCTGTGGAAAAGGACTTCAGGGGCTCATCTCGTTTGCATGGGCACACCCATCCTGCCTAGCACGATGGGACTGCTGGCCCAAAGGGTCACTTTGGCTGCTCTGGGACCCCCAGTCTCTTTGTTACTGGGGCAGGAGTAATAAAGGGTTGTTATCCTGGTTATGGAATCAAGGACAGTAGAACTGTACTTGGCATTGAATGACTGAGGGACTCGCCCTCAACTAAGCAGCACTTGCTAGGCAAGGGACATGGGTTCCAAAGCCCAATAAATTGAGTGTGAGTGGATAAGGATGGGTTTCTTTGCAAGGCCCTAAACACTATGTTGACTCCCCCTCTCTCTCTATTGTGTAGTAACAGAGCTAATTTAGACTCACTTAAGAGTTTTGTTATATACTGTAGAGCTGAAGTCACTGTTATCTAGATATTAGACTTACTTGGGGCTATGTGGTTCTAATGCAGGAAAACTATCTAGATGCATCAGCAGTGAGGCTCCCCTATTAATGGCTGAAATCACTGAGAGCTGTATTAAGTGGGTGGGGCTGAAGATATATTAGTGAATGGCTAGGGGAGAGGTGTGGCTGGCAAAGACTGGAGCAGAACCCCATGGAGAGGCATAGGGACCGGCCATCGAGGGCCCAAGCAGCAGAGCGTGTAAGGTGCCTCCATACCTCCCCGCCCTTCCACCCAGGCTGGGAGGTGAACTCTGCAGATGAACTTCTGAACTCTGGGGCTGCACTGACCAAGGACAGCAGCTGTGAGTGGGGTGACTTTTGGGTTGCTGGACTTAAGACCCTGAGGGGAAAAGGACACTGCCCAACTTACTTGGGGTGGGTCGTTTGCTCATGGTATCTGTTTATGAATCCTGTTTGTGGTGTTTCCCCAATATAATGCCGCATTGTTTCCCTCCTTTATTAAAAAGCTTTTGCTACACTCAGACTCTGTGCTTGCGAGAGGGGAAGTATTGCCTCTTAGAGGCACCCAGGGGGGTGGTGTGTAATTGTCCCAGGTCACTGGGTGGGGGCTCAAGCTGGTTTTGTGTTGTATTGTTGAGAAGGAACCTCTAGATACTGAACCTGGCCCTTGTTGCTGCCAACGCTGACGGGCAGAAGGGTTACACAAACAAATTTATTAATTACAAAGATAGATTTTAAGTGATTATAAGTCAAAACACAAGAAGTCAGATTTGGTCAAATGAAATAAAAGCAAAACACATTCTAAGCTGATTTTAACACTTTCAATGTCCTTACAAACTTAGATGCTTCTCACCACAGGCTGGCTGGTTGCCCTTCAGCCAGGCTTTCCCCTTTGATCAGTGCTTCAGTCACTTGGTGGTGATGTCTTAGCTGGAGGTGGAAGAGAGGAAGAGCCTGGCAAATGCCTCTCCCTTTTATCATGTTCTTTCTTCCCTCTTGGCTTTGCCCCCCCTTCACAGTCAGGTGAGCATTACCTCATCATAGTCCCCAACTGACCAAGGGAAGGGGGGTGACTCACTCAGAGTCCAACAGATCCTTTGTTGCTGCCTAGGCCAGCGTCCTTTGTTCCTGTGAGACTGGGTTGGGTTTGTCCCATAGATGCCCTGATGAGGTGTGAACTTCCCCTCTGCTTTTGGAGAGTTTTTGCCTGGGCTTGCTTTAAGCCATGAGGACACTTTTTCAGACTCATAACTATATACATGAAATTATAACCTATAACTTTACTATAACAACAATGCTCAGTGCATCATGAGCCTTCTGAAGACACCCGACATGACAAACTTTGCATTGGATACCACACAATCATGTTATACGGACGAACATGGGGGTGCAGGGTGTTCCCCCGAGGTACAGAGTGCCACTCCCCTCTCGTGAGCACCCCCTGTCCAAGTGTGTGTGCCTGCACTCTCTCTCTCAGTTTGTGGTGGGTCTTCAGCGACTCAGCCCTCTGGCCAAGTCACACAGTCTGTATGTGAAATACAAATCAACCCCCTTCTGGGGTAAACAGTCCAACAGGGGCCTATCTCCGTGCCCCTCAGTTGGCCTTTCTCTCCCTGTAGCCCTCCCTGAGCTCAGGTCTTTACTTAGTCCAGCAGTCTGTAAATGGTCTCAGCCCTGGTCTCAAGCCATACCCCCAGGGCTCCCTCCCTGGAGGTGATGTCTTCCCCCTCTCCTGGCCCTTCTGGCCCCAGCACTCCAGCTGGGCCACTAAACAGTTCAGTTCCCCTTCCAGGTATGCATCAAAGTCCAGGCCACTTCTCCAGTGGCTAATGGGGCCTCCGGGTCCTAGCTCAGGGACCCTACGAATAGCAGCCGTCCGCCACATGCCTTTAACTAAACTGCTACAATTCCCTGGGCCATTTGCCTGTGGCCCCAGCACACTCTTCACCCTTAACTCAGGGCCTTGTCCTAGCAGCCAGCCCGGAGCTCTTTCTTGCTCCCCTGACCCCTACCAGCAACTGCTCCCGTCCAGGTCCTGGAGGTCCTTCAGGCAGCCAGGAGCACCAACTTAACTCCTCTGGCTCCTGGCAGCAACTGCTGTCTGCTCTGCACTGCAGCTCCTTTTATATGGGCCTGCTGGGCCCAGATTGGCTGCTCCCTGCAGCCCCCTTTGATGGGCTGCATCCCACGTGGCCTCTCTAGGCCACTTGGAGGACTCACTTCCACTGCTTCTTTCTGGGATGGAGTGTGGTAGGACCCTGAGGCCTCCAGCAGGGTCACATGCCTCCATAATGTTCTGTCTTGAGTCAAGTCTGGAGTAGGATGCCTGTGAGGGACAGGTGTCTGACACCATCCAGCCATCGTGTTTTTGGTTTTCCAGGGGGTCTTTTTCTGCCTTCTTTCATTGGATCAAAGTTGAAGATGGTTCTCACAGAGAAGTTGGCAGGCATTTGGAGTAGATGAACATACCACCTTAGAGACCATTGGGTGACTGTTTGAGAGAGCAGGGCCTGTTTCATTAGAAAATGCATCTTTTCATTCTACTTGGATTCACACCATTTGAGGGGTCTGATTTTTGGAAGATGCTTCTTCTAGATGGTGTCCAACTTCACTCAGCTATTCCCCATTTTGTATGTGTGCATTTGATCTTTCCTTCCTAAGTGCACTTGTTGTTAGTGAATTTCACCTTGTTGATTTCAGACCAATTCGCCACTTTATGAAGGTCAGTTTGAATTCTAGTCCTGTCCCCCAAAGTGCTTGCACCCCCTCCAGCTTGGTGTCACCCACAAATTTTATAGGCATGCTCTCTGCTCCATTTATTAATGAAATTATTGAATAGTCCTGGCCCCAGGACTGCCCCCCCACTAGAGACGTCCTCCCAGTTTGAGAGCTAACGGGTGGTTCTACTCTTTAAGGATATTTTTTCAACCAGTTCTCCACCCACTTATAGTCATTTCTTCTGGACCACATTTCTCTAGTTGGCTTATGAGAATGTCACGTGGGACTGTGTCAAAAGCTTTACTCAAATCAAGATAAGTCATGTCTGCTGCTCCCCTCCCATCCACTAGGACACTAACCCAGCCAAAGAAGAAAATTAGGTTGGTTCGGCGTGGTTTGCTCTCAACAAATTCACGTTAGCTCTCACTTATCACCCTCTTACCCTCCAGGTCTCCGCTGGCTTTCAACACAGCCGAAGGCTGCTGCCAGGGTTTCGCTCCGTTTCAAGGGCGGTTGTGGCAGTCACACTCTGTGCCAGTGCTTGGCCGGCCCGGCCGCCCCGTGACGGGCGATTTGTGAGTCTGCGTTCAAGCTTCGTCCCTGCATGACCTGCCCCGTTCCTGGGAGAAAGGGCTGAAGTGGGGGAACTTCTTACCTCCTGACCAACCTGGGGCACCCGATTCCTCTTCCCTGGCAGGAGATTTGCTCTGAGCCGTAAGATTCCAGGAGAAGAGTCTCGGGAAAGGGAAATGACATTGGTTCTAGTGTGTGCCAGTGCCTGTTTGCCCCCCTGGGCTGCACTGGGGAGAGGCAGCGCGGTTGGACCATCTCGGCCCTTTCTTCCCAGGAGCCAGTCCCCCATCCTGTACGTGTAACCGCCAGCCTTGGTTCCTCCCACCCAGCGCAGTCTGGGTTGCTTTCGGCAGGCGCGACCAGCTCCTTCACTCGCTGGCTGGAGAGAGGGGCTCTGGGAGGGGAGTTCGGGATATTTGATGGGAGTCCCTTTACCTTCTCTGGACCGAGCCGTCTTTCTCCATTTTCCCCAGGCCTGCTCCTGAGAGATGGGAGAGTGGCCCTGACAATAGCTTGCCCATCCTTGGCACCATGCTGCGACTGGCTCCCGAGGGCGGCTGGGAATCAGGCACCAGCTGCAAGGAGAGACCACGTGGTAACGCTGACCCTGATGTGTGTTTGTAAGGCAGCCATCGCTGTGCCACCGGGGCACAGCCTGTGTGGTTTGGAGCAAGAGAAATTAGCACTCTGCAGCCACAGGGCTGAGCTCTCCGCTCGGTGCTCACCTGTCCCTGGGGGTCCCCGAAGGGATGTACTGGGATGTCTCCAACTCCAGCTTCGACCCCGGACTCGACCCCCAGATCCCCTACAGGTCCCACAGAACAAGGGGATGGAGAGGGGGCCCCAGGACAGCCCCCTGCACGTGGAGACGCAGAGGGGCCCCCAGAGCAACCCGGCCCCCGGGTCCTGGGGACAGAGAGGGGACCCCAGGGCATCCCGGCCCCTGGCATGTGGGGATGGAAAGAGGACCCCAGGGCATCCCGGCCCCTGGCACATGGGGACAGAGAGGGGACCCCAGAGCATCTCGGCCCCCCCCGCATGTGGGGACGGAGAGGGGCCATAAGACCTCCTATCCCTCTCCCTGGCCCCAGAGGGGTTGCCTCGCAGCCCTGGAGTTATAAAGCCAACGCCCCCCGTGCCTGGCCGTCAGGCTCAGCCTCCAGGCAGGGCAGTTGGGCCCGTTGCTGGCCTGGGGCTGCAGCGAGCCTGTCCCGGCTGGCGCCACTCACCTCGCCCCCGGGCGATGTACCTGTGCAGAGGAGCTGGTGGAGGAGCTGCCCACACTGAGCACCAGGCTGTGCGGGACGTGGATGGAGGGGTCCTTGGTGGTGATGGAGAGCCCCCACTGCAGGATGTCCGCCAGCCGGCTCCAGAGCGTGAACACGGCGTCAGGGTGCGCCTGGTGCAGCCGCAGGTAATAAACCTTCCCCGTCACCACCTGCACCCGCAGCAGGCGCCGGGCGCTGTCCTGGACCGACAGTCTGACGTACCTCAACGGGAGGAGCCTAGAGCCAAGGGAAAGCACAGGATGCCCGAGTCCCCAGGGACAGGAGTGAGCGGCTGGCTCTGGGGTGTGGACAGGGTCTGGCAGCAGGAGGGCCACGCCCGCCCCACTGAGAACTCAGAGGGAGGGACCCCAAAGGGACTGGCTGCAGAGCCCCATCCCCCCGCACGGGGACTGGCTAATGAGGGAGGGGACACAGCATGGACGGCCAGACAGGGGCAGGCTTACAAAGGGTTAACGGCACACAACTCACCATCAGCATGGCAGTGACCCCGACTTAGCGCCTGGGGGTGTCTGGGCTCCCTCTCTGCGGGAGCAGGATGAGGGGGTGCTGGGGCCCCCCAGATTTAGCAGCACAGTGGCAGCACCCCCAGGCACCCCAGCCACGTGGGGCTGGTGCCGCAGAGCATCTAGGGGGACACAGGTGACAGGCACAGTGTGGGCTCCACCAGGCCCCATGGCCGGAGCTGCGGGCCAGGGCAGCACTCGGCACGCCAGGGCCCCAGACTCACGCACCCTGCCAGGGCACTGCAGTCAGCATGCTGCACATGGGAGAGGGGCAAGGGCAGGGGGGCATCCTGCCCTGGCCCCAGGGGGGCGGGATTCAGTGGGACCCAATGGGCTTTTCTATCTCAGATGTCCAACAGCTAAATCCCACCACCTGAGAGCTCCCGGCTAAGCTCCCCACCCCCACCCTGTTCCTCACCTGCTAAGGGCCATGGAGGGCTCCTGGGGCTGGCCTGCCCTCCCGGGGGGGCTTTCTCCCAGCTCTGCGAGCCTGGCGATCAGGAGCACGTTGGGGAGGGGCAGGCAGGGCTCCGAGGACGTCACCCCCAGGGTCACCAGTGTGGGGGCGTTGAGGATATCCACCCAGTTCCCCTGCTTCGTCACCTGCAGCGAGAAGGCCCCGGGTCAAGCCACCGGTGCCAGGCCCCGGAGGAGGGGACGTGCCCCCAAGGTTTGCTCGGTCGCATAACGGAGCCAATCACCAGCTCCCAGGTGCCTTTCCTCCCGGTGCTTCCACAGGCTCTGAGAGCTCGCTGCTCCCCTGGGTCTGAGGCTAGCGCCCAGTGAAAAACCATCCCCGTCACGAAGCCACTGGCAGCCCTGGCACGAACCGGCCCCCTTGGCTTGCCGACATGGAAGATGGAGGCTCAGCTCTTCTCTCCCAGGGGCAAGACTGGGGGGTGGAGGCTCAGAGCTTTAATACAGCTTTGGTTACTTATCCCCCTCCTCACACCTGGGGTTGGAACCCAGTACCTTCAGCACCACACCACAGGCCTGTGCCCCTTGTGTGCAAAGAGTAACTCCACTCCTTACAGCAGCAGCAGTAGTAGGCTGTTATCCTTTAGCAGGCCAGCCACTAGAAAGGGATGCTACACACTCTGACAGTGCCACTGCTCCTAGGGCCATTCTCAAAGGATCGCTGTGCACCTCCGGGCTGTGCACCCCTCCCACCAAATGGACGCTGGGCCTGGCCCCCTCAACCGGCTCCAAACTGGTTACTAATTGGGTTTCTGATGGGGCCCCTCATCTAGGCTGCTAGAAGGGACAAGACAGCCTGCTAATGCATGCACTCGGCGCGTCCCACGGCTGCTGCCACCTTGCAATGCTGAAGATCTCGACCTATATCCATTCCCCAGCATTTAACTTGGCGCACAGGTGATACCCATGAAAGGGTTAATTCACCACACCCCAAGGCTCACTAATTAGCCAATGACAGTCGGTTCTGATGATCTAATCCTTCTAACTTGTGTTTTCATTGGCTGCTATTCGTGTGTAATGGACTTTAGGTCTGTTACCAGGGGAGATGTGTGGGCTGCACTCCAGAGAGGGGACCCCTTCACCCCCAGGTCAGTGTGAGCGCCCGGAACTGCCCTAGCCAGCTAGCAGGTGCAAGGGAGGAGAATGAACATCTGGGGCAGGATCGAGCCAATGGGCTAGGACTAGAACTGGGGCTGGCTACGTACAGGGCTGCAGAGATAGATACAGAGGGCTGCTGGAGGGGGATGGACAGATCTTCCTACAGATCAATCCCACATCAAAGCCACATTCCGTGTTTGACCCACCCCCAACTGCCCCCCAAAGAACCCACTCCCCCGGGAACTGGGCCTGCCCCTCTCCATCCCAGGGGAGAGTCTGGCTCAGCACTGGCCTGGCACAGTTCAGGGGCTCCACAGCTTGCCCCATTAGGTGCTTTTTCAGCCTCTTCCTGCTGTGATTTGGCCCAGCCTATCTCCTCCAAACTGGCAAGGCCTGGAACCCCCACCCCGTTGCTTGGCCTCAGCGGCCCTGGGCAGGGGCAGCAGCTGGGAGAGGAGGCTCAGGAGGGAAGGGCAGAGGCAGAGAGCTGGTTCCCACATGGGCAGCAGCACGGGGAGGGGGGGAGGGATACTCCTTTCCTCTGGTCTCTTTCAGGTGGAGGAGGATCCCAACTTCATGATACGGCGTTGAATACAATGTCAGCGGCTAATAAAACCAGCCAGGATGGTCTCCGCCCTGAGACGCACAGGGGGCTGAGACCCAGCCGAGCCCGCGGCGGGGTGCTTTGAGCCTTGCAAGGCTTTTGCAGGTGATCAGGGTGCAAGGGGCAGCAGGGAAGAGGCAGCATGTTGTGCCTCTTCCTGTATGTTCGGGGCCATGGGGCAGAGTAATCGGGGGACTCGATCCAACCTCACTTGCAGGCTTGGCTAGATTTCTAAGCACAGCTGTTTTGCCAGGAACAGCAGGGGGCAGCGCTGCCAGGCGCTCCCAGAAAAGGCCTTTAGTCTCCCCCTCACCTGTGCTCTGGGCAGGGCCGGCTCCAGGGTTGTGGCCGCCCCAAGCAGCCAAACAAAAACAAAGCCGCGCTCGCGATCTGCGGCAGCAATTCGGCGGGAGGTCCTTCGCTCCGAGCAGGAGTGAGGGACCGTCCGCCGAATTGCCGCCAAACAGCTGGACGTGCCGCCCCTCTCCGAAGTGGCCACCCCTCTCCGAAGTGGCCGCCCCAAGCACCTGCTTGGTAAGCTGGTGCCTGGAGCGAGCCCTGGTTCTGGGCAGAGGGCTCCCCCTAGGAGCAGGCTTCACCCCACGGTGCAGACAGCACCCCAGGACAGCTGCAACTCTCGTCAGAGCTGGGCTGCAGAGACACAGCCGCTGTGCCCAGGGCGATTCCTGCCACCCAGCCCAGGGACTCTGCCAGGCCTGGCGACGGAAGCACAAGGCCCTGGAGCAGGACGCCTGGCCTGTGAGTTCAGGTCTTTGCTTTATGGTCCCAAAGGCTGGGGCAGAGCGAACAGGGGGAGTTTGGCCCCCACCGAGGAACACTATCCAGCCCTGAATGGGGATTGAGCCCGGGACGGCTTGCCATTAATTCATTGCTTGGGCCGCAGTAGCAGGGCCAGGCAGAGATGGGTTAAAGCTGTTGGAGGCCCTCTGGGCCAAGCAGAAGTACCTGAATGAAATTACTTTCAAACACTGCCGACTTGGGGAAAAGGTTGTAATCTGGAGAACGGAGTAGCTGGCAGAGGATCCCACCTTCCACGCCGAGGTGCACGCCCGAGGCCGGGTCATCAGCCAGGAACGTTCTGCAGCCACTGGTCACAGGGAAGCGCCTGCAGCCGGCCATGCAGCCCTCGGGAACAGCTCGTTAGAGAGACAGCATGCTGCTTCTGTCCGCTACAGCCACCCGGCTTTTCTAGTGCTCCTCTGCACCACAGGCGGGGGACAGGCCAGGCCTCATCTGCAACCTGCCTGGGAGCCTGCAGCCCAGCGGAGTTTGTGATGTCACAATAACTGGCAGGTGACCTCTGCCCTGGCTAGGGCCTGGGAAAGGCCTGCCAAGTGGCACTGCAAATGTTCATGCCTTGCCCGGCCCGCTGCAGCTCCCTCCTCCCCTCCACTTGCAGCAGGGCAAGAGCAGCCGAGGGGCCAGGTGAGGATACGGGGGGCAGGAGCACTTGCCCCTGGATTCAGCAACGAGCCATCTGGGGGAAGAGAAGCGAGGTGAAGCCCCTCATCCATGCTGGCCTTGCTGCTCTGAATAGGTGTGTGTGACTCTAGCCAGCAGCTTTATCCACTAGGGGGCAGGAGAGACCCCACTAACAGCCGCTCCCAGGCTGCTGGAGAGCGCGTCTGGTAGGGCAGCCGGCACCGCCTGCACGTGTGGGCCCGGCCTCACCGCCGGCTCCAGGGCTCACGGCCAGGTGGGGCCATTCCTGCATAAGGCACCTGGAGCAGCTGTGGGGCTCTGCACCCAGCCTGACAGAGCAGGGCCTGCCTGGAGCTGCCCCCCAACCCCACTACAGCAGTCAGACGACACCTACCGCCAGGAGCGCAGCTCCCAGCCAGACCCAGGGACCCCTAGTCCCTGCTGTGAGGGAGTCCGCCGGCTCTGTGCATTACAGGGAGTCACTAAGTCCCACCCCCACCATGGGGTTTACACCCCGTGTTACAGCCCCCACCCCACCCTGGAAAGAAGAACAAGTCTCAAAAGCCTTCTCCTTTTTATTGCACAGACCTAGAGGCAGGGACCCCCAGGCCCCAGCAGCACTCAGCCAGTGAACAGGGGGGGGGGGGGAAAACAGGGGGGCGGGGCCCAGCCCCAGACAGCTGCAGCCACAGCCCATGACAGGCCCTGCAGGGCAAGAGACAAACGATCAGTGGATCCAGCCTCACCCAAGGCTGACCCTGTGCCGAGAGTCCCCCCGCCATACACACACGGGGGGGCCTCCCCTAATCCAGGCAGGTTCCAGTAGCTCGGCTTCGGGAAGCTTTGGAGCAGCATTCAGACACAGGCAGTTTTCCCTTTGGCCAAGGGCCCAGGACCCCCACCCCCAACGCAACCACCACACATTATCCCCCTCCTCAGGCAGCAAAGAACCACTGCCAGGTCTGCTGAGAGTCCAACCCTGCCTGAATTCCTAGGCACTAGGGCTTGGAATGGGTCCTCCTGCCCCACCTCAGTGGGACAGAATGGGGTCCAGGCCCCTCAATGCCAGCCAGCCCTGCCCATCCCATCCCCCACAGGAATGGGGAAAGGCTGCTGCAGCAGGCCCTGCAGAGGCATTTGCACCCCACCCGCCCCATCGTGGAGCAGATCCCCTGAGCTGCACTAATGGAGGTCCAGCCCTGCCAGGCCCCAGCAGGAAGGCAGCCCAGAGGCAGAGCTGGAGGGGCTCCAGCGAGCCCTTTCAGACAGGGGAGCAGGCACTTAATAGGCACATTGAGAAAGTGGAAGATGCAGAAGCCAAAGCCCAGCCTTCGGCCTCTTGCTGCAGGCTAGTGAGGCCGGGGAGCGCCCAGAGCATGGCCAGCCCGGGGCTCGCAGACACGAGCAGAGGGAAACCCCCAGCCTTGTCTATACCAGGGCTCTCGCTGTGGCTCCCCTCCTGGGGGTGGAGCGGACGCTCTCTCTTCTCCTCCTCCCACCCAGCGGGACCTGCTAACACCATGGATACAGGGCAGCTGGGTCGGTCACTCAGCGCAGCCCCTCCAGCGAGCAGGGACATGTCCCAGCCTGGAGCAATCCCAGGCCGCCCAGCCACAGCATTGTGGAGGTTGCAAGCAGGGAGAGACTCACAGCCCTTCCAGGCAGAGAGGGCGAGGGGCTAGACTCTTTTGCACAGAAATCCCCACCCCAGAAATCCCCTGGGGCCCCTCTTCCCTCTGAAAAGAGGATCGGGAGCGAATGGCTCAAGGGCTCCAGGTCCCAGAAGCACCACTGCCCCAGGGACAGGAGAGCTGACCTCACAGCTGGGCAGTGGGGAGCAGCGCTTCTTGCATGGCTAAGAGGGGAGGCTGCCTGGCTTGGGGGGGCAGGTGGACAGGGAGTGGGGGGTTCCTAGTGCAGCAGAGTCCCTCCCTTGCTGGCTCAGAGCAGGTCCCAGGGGGAGGGGAGGCCGCCCAGGCCAGGTAGGAGGCACGTTAACAAGGGCTGCTTGTTCCATCTCCCCCGCACAGCGCACACCAGCTGCAGCTCCTCTCTGCTAGCCCCAGCCCAGCGCCCACGGGGCGAGCAGGCAGCCTCAGCAGATCAAGGAGGCTCCAGCCTTGGAGAAGAGCAGCTGCTAGCTTTGCAGCTGGGGATGAAGGACTAGAACAGCAGATCAAGATCATCGCCCTTGGAGAGGCATTTCATTAGGGCAATACCAGCACCTCAAACAGCTCAAAATTCCCCCCTCCCCCCAGGGTCACCCACCCTGCACCCATCCCTCCCCACAACCCAGTGCAACTGCATTTCCAGGCAGCCGCCGCGAGCCAGGCCCCTGTTCTGCAGCAGCCCCCACCGCTCTCAGCGTTCAGCATTCACGCCAAGGGCAGCCCCGGAGCCTCCCGTTCCCCACTGCACCAGGACATTCTGCATGGTAGGGGTGCAGACTGGAGAGGGATCTGTGCACAGGACACCCCCCGTCCCCACCGTGGCCCTGCCATCTGCGTCATTTTAGCAGGGACTTTATCCAAGTAGCCACCACCAGGCCAGAAGCACCGCCTGCCCATGAGAACTTGCTGCCTTTCGTCTCAGAGGAAGGAAGACGCCAGCAACGCAGCCCCCAAGAGCCAAAGCCAGAGTCCAAGCACCACGTTGAGTCGTCAGGGAGCAGTCCCCCCCCAGAGCTCAGAGGTACGATCCAAAGGCTTTGTTAGTCCTTCGCTTCGCCTGCCCTTGGAGGATCTTCAGCTGGCCCTCGGCAAGGCCGCCCTCCGGTTCTGTCCACGGGCTGGAGAGGCACTGCTCCAGGCCCTGAGGGGTCAGCAGGCTGCCCAGGGAGTCCATCAATCCAAAGAGAACCGACAGCAGGGACAGCAACGCACCCAGCAAGTAGAGCTTCACCACCCACGGCATGGCTGGGCAGGAACCACCAGCGGAGCCTGCGCGGTCCTTGGGGGAGGGCAGGACTCTGCTCCCAGTCCCCGGAATGCCACCAGTCTGCTCCTGGGAGGGACAGAGATCGGGGTAAGGCCGTGAAATAGCCATTAGGTGAATTCACTGCACATTAGATGGTCAGGACCCACGTGTAGTGAATGGGTCACGGCTATCAGCTAGCAATAGACAAGCAATATAAACTCCGCCTAGGTTTCATGTAGGGACCCTTTTTGTGGGGGAGTGCAAACCAAGCCTTTTTGGCTTGCCAGATATCCTGTGACTGCGTTCTTGGCATGTCCCTGATTCAGGTACAGGGAGAGGAAGAGGGTATGGGACCTGCTAGAATATACTCCGGATAAACCAGGAAAGTCCCAAGAGTCCAATTCAAATAGGCTTTAGAGTTGTTGCTAATAAGTACATAAGCATAGTCTATAATCCAGTGCGTAACCCCAGTATTTGCCCCTAGGTAAATACACAACAAGCCAGAGGGGGTGTTGATAAAAATAGGGTGTTATCGTGGGTATAAAGGGAATGTAGAGACTTCACTGGCCTGCTACACTGCCGCTGATCAGTGGGGTGGGGCCTTCTGTACTGACATGGACATAACCCTGCTCCTTGGATTAGAGCAAGGAGTTAGCAGTGGTTCTGCTACAGTGAGCAGGGCAGGTCTGCTTTGCTAGGTCCATGAGGTAGCCTGTGAGCGGTCTGGAAATATTCTTACAATCAGCAAGTTTGATCAGGGATCTTCTCCCAGGACCACAGCAATGCCTTTCTCCTGCCCTCCCGCTCCCCTCTGGGCTAGACTGCAAACACTGCAGTGAAATAAAATGGTCTGAAGTAAACAGGATGAAATTCAATAAGGACAAATGCGAAGTACTCCACTTAGGAAGGGACAATCAGTTGCACACATACAAAGTGGGAAATAACTGCCTAGGAAGGAGTACTGCAGAAAGGGACCTGGGAGTCATAATGGATCACAAGCTAAATATGAGTCAATGTAACACTGTTACAGCCCAGAATGAGGTTTGCTTTTTTTGGTATTAGCAGGAGTGTGGTAAGCAAGACACGAGCAGTAATTCTTCCGCTCTACTCCGCACTGATTAGGCCTCAACTGGAGTATTGTGTCCAGCTCTGGGCGCCACATTTCAGGTGGACAAATTGGAGAAAGTCCAGAGAAGAGCAACAAAAGTGATTAAAGGTCTAGAAAACATGAGCTATGAGGGAAGATTGAAAGAATTGGGTTTGTTTAGTCTGGAGAAGAGAAGACAGGGGACATGAGAACAGTTTTCAAGTACATAAAAGGTTGCTACAAGGAGGAGGGAGAAGAATTGTTCTTAACCTCTGAGGACAGGACAAGCAATGGGCTTAAATTGCAGCAAGGGCGGTTTAGGTTGGACATTAGGAAAATCTTCCTGTCAGGGTGGTTAAGCACTGGAATAAATGGCCCAGGGAGGTTGTGGAATGTGTGTCATTGGGGATGTTTAAGAGCAGGCTGGACAAACACCTGTCAGGGATGGCCCAGATAATACTTAGCCCAGCCAGGAGTGCAGGGGATGGACACGACCTCTCTAGGTCCCTTCCAGTCCTAGGAAGGTCTTCAGCTAGGGAGGGCAATAAGCCCCCAGCGGGATAACAGCAGCCACTGGCCTGGGCCAAGCTGCCACTACAGATCTTCAGTGAGACCCACCAGGAACCCTTGGATGTGGGCCCTTTACAACGGACTCAGCCTGGGAAGTTTTTGGAACCAGGTTTTCTCCGTTTGGGGGGAGGGTTCCCACCCCCATTAGAAACTCGGGCTTTGAAGACCCGTTTTCCCCAGGACATCGGACAATCAGAGTGCTGGCTGGTGTGGCTGCCCTGCCAGCCTGGGGGTGGGGGGGGGGGGGGGG